CGCAACGCATCATTGGAGCTTGTCCACTGCGCAGAACCGGGAGGACCAGACGATGCCCAAATATAGGAGAGTTATACTAATCTCCCGGTCTCCGTGAAGTCCCATGTGCTACTGAGCACAAGCCATTAATTTGAATAGGGGGCCATCTTGGATCACCGGGACTTGGCTGCTCCTCACTGTTGATACTTTGTTCTGAGGCTCCACCCTGGCCTGCTTCCCCAGTCTACGTTGGTTTAATTGATGATTTATTCTGCATTTTGGCGGAGAAAAGAAAATTCAAATTGCTGTTCCAACTTTAAAAAGTTTCTGTCCCAAGTTAAATTGATACCTAATTTAGCTGCAGGAGCTTGGCACGCTCACTCCTCACTATACCATGGCCGGAAACCAAGAGTGCTTTTGTTGAATATAGAACAATTATCCATGTATGATTGGTTTAGAAATTTGATACCATTTGTCAGTAACAACAACAACAAACACTTATATCCTTATATGGACTGGTTAATACTTCATATTTTTACTAAAGGGAATTGTTGTGTCCTTAAGAACAAAAAATGGCCCCATGCCTTTGGATGAAAGTGAGTAATCTGCTGTGGTGACAGATTCTACTGGCATCTTCCCACAACATTATCTGCAGGTCTGATTACAAAAGCAGCACTAAAAAGTTCTTGTTGCTTTGTTACTTGATTACTTCACTAATACAAAGAGATAATGCATCATGCCAATTTCGTCCAAACATTTCTTCATATCCTTATCCACGATGAAAGACTTGGCACAAATTTCTGAATGTCTGGATGGAGGAGCATGATTGAAATGTGAGCCATATCTAATTTAAAGAAAAGTATAGATGATAGCAGGTCACATGGGTCCTCTACTGAACCATGATGGAACCTGAACTATACAGATTTTTTATGTTCAAATCCAACAGATCATCCAAACTGTTTGTATGTTTCAAGAAGATTCTTTGCTCTTATCTATCTAACTTTATTACCTACTACCTCCATCTGTCCATCCTAGTCTCTGTCACTGGGCACCTTAAGCATACACGATATGTTCCAATCGTTAGAACCTAATGCGTCTCCATAATCTGAACTTTGGCTTTGTTCATTCCCAGGGTGAACTCCACATATGTCCAGCCGTACATCGCAGAGAGCTGCCTGACACCTGACACAATAACACATGTTCACTTAGCAAAGACTAAACTCTCCTTTACTCTCTAAGAAAAACATGTCGAATCCATAAATCCACCGGCGCTGGATCAAGTCGTGCCTCTAGCGTCTTTAAGTACGTCTATACTTCTTGAGCTGCAAAAGCGAAAGTCCTGCTGTCAACACTTTTTTTTACAAAACAGCTGCCACATTGAGCTCACTAAAGGTAATGTTGATCTTACAGAAATGAGATGCAAATGCACACTAATAAAACACTTGAGTGATAACATTAGTCAGGGCTTTTGGACACTCAAATATTCTTCACACAGAATCATCCAGGCTTCTTCTGAAACACAGCTTCCCACATCAAAATCCAACACACACAAAAAAAACATTCTCTAGTCCTTTCCATATGTCTAGAAATCCAAAAGTGGCTAATGGTAGGGCCTTTGATGAGACATGCTTATTCTGCATAACTTTAATTAGGCTTGGGAATTAATAAAAGTTATTTTGTCTTGAAAGAAAGCAAAATAATCGTATTGGTAACATTCGGTATTTAAGGCCAACTTGGGATTTTACTAGCTTTTAACCTCTTTTTGATGTATTTTTGTTCTTTTATTTTGCTTTGTTTTGTTGTTTGTGGTTTTGTATTTTAATCTGTAGCACTTTGAGGTTTCCTGGAAATGTAAGGTGCACTATGATTAATATGTATTATTATTATTATAGTTATTATTATTCTGGCATTCAGTAGAAAAGATACAGATACATACGATATAGATCTCACTCTCTGACCTGAAATCCACATAGACACAAACATCTCTCCCAGCGCGCTTCTCTTAATTGCAAAGTGTCTGTGTTAATTAAGCGTGTGTTATGTGTACATTGGGATGCCTCCGCGGCGCTGATGTTTGAGTAATGACCTCACTCATGCAGACAGGGTGGTCCTCCCAGTGCACATTACAAAAACACACAGCCGATATGTTGTTTCTTCCCACCAGCATACCCGATCACACTTTTCAAACTCCCAGTGGCGAACAGTAGGCATTTTGTTCTGCACTTAACACTTTGGACTCGTAAACTCCAAAAATGCTTTACAACTTTCACGGTCCAACACATGCCCAGGTGCAGGAGACCGGCCGCCATCCGCACTGTTCTTCTACAGCAGGGGTCTCCAACCTTTTCCAGTTGGAGAGCTACTTTTATTCAAACAAAGAGGCAGAGAGCTACTCCATTTTGCAGTCGTGGAGTGGAATCCATCTAGTAATTACAACAAAACATTACCAAAACATTACAATGGATATGTAATGGCTCAAAATATATTAATTCTCTAATATTCTCTAATATTATATAATATATATAATGTAGTCTTAATTGTAGATCAGTCACATCCTTGACTTTGTGTGCAATAAAACTGTTGTCTCTTGGTCCCATGAGAATATTTAAGCGATATTTTTGGTGAGGCCACTGACACTTTTTCCACTTTCTAGTAATGGCCCGGAAACACCATGCAGGAAGTTGTACTGCGATTACAGATGAAAGAACAGATTGTGCAATATTATTGTTAGTGAAGTGTGCAGCATCGTTCCCTTCTTAAGAAATGCATGCATGCTTTAGTCTTACATTTCAACTCAATATGTAATAGGTTTGAAATGTTTCCTAATCAAAATGTGTGCCCTGATTCTACTGATTTGGCGTTTTTCCCCAGGGGTTTGGTTTGTTTGTCTTAGAAATGGAACAAGAAACACATTATAGGCTTTTGAAGATGATCTGAATCATTGTCAGGCCCTCTTGGTGGAGGTTGCGCTCTTCAATTGTATTTTTCTAGTTTATCATTGATTCCAGAGCTGAGTCTTTCTCTCGTGCTTCTCCGCTGCCGGGAAGGAGCTAATGTTCTTTGGCAAAGTCTTAGTCGCTTTGAACTCCTTGACAGACAGACCCAGGAGTATCTCTAATGCTTCAAGCTTTTATTTGAGATGTGAAAGTTTGGACTGTGCTTCAAACATTGCGGTTACACTGAGGAATGGAGAAATAAACGCTGCCACATTCAAGCTCGATATAGGTTTATTTGAGAAAGTTTTCATTTCCATACACAAATACAATGCAAATCACAAGTCCTCCATTGATTCTTGAAAAGCAGACTTCTTCTCAGACAGTATTATTGCCACGAGAGTTAAGAAAATGAATGACCTTATTGGCAGCAAAATCAAAGGAGAAAGCAAACCCCAAAGGTCACTGAACTCTGGCTCAGAACCTCTAATACATCCTTCTTCCTCAATATCGGCTCCTCTTTTTTGTCCCTTCCCCTTTAGCCTTTGTTTATCCCACGCACCCACAGCCCCAGGCCTGTTTCCGGTCTGGCATGGACGAGACAGAGCAGCCAATATATTTGCGACTGAAGCCTTTGCATATGTTCACATCCAGCGCATTGTTTTGAAGTGTTTGGGAGTGTGTGTGCGGTGTGGCCTGGTGTCATTTCTGTGGTGGCTAACTGCACCCTTTGTCCCGTCTGAGCGTTTTTTTTCTTTCAATTTGGAAGGAGCCATAAAGCTTGACCAGATGGCACAAACATGTTTAGTTTCATATCACACTAGCCATTATTCGCTTAGGGCTGTGGGGATGTGGGCCACAGCTGTACACACTGCAGCCACACACAGCGTCACGGACACAAACGGCTGCATATGTCAGTACATGAAAGACGGTATGGTTTTGTACTGAGTGACACTCTTTGAAGATCACAGAACAACTGGTTTCATCTCATAATTGGCGTGTTTGAGATTCACAGAAGGGCAGGGAAATCAAAGGGTATGTTGTTTAGTCATACTGCAAATGTCTGTTTCCACCTTCATTTAAGGAAAGTAATAACGGTTGTGCGTTATGAATCTAAAGCTAGAATTCAGACAGGGATATAGGAAGAACTAAGCTCACAGCGCTCAAAATCCTCCAATCAGGCCATTCCCCAGTTCAATCTTCATATCGCAAGGAAGCTCCATTCAAGCTGCAGCTTCATTCACGCCACAACCCTCCTCCTCCCCATCTCCGTCTCGTTCTGGCCAGCTCTTTCATTCTTCTCCTAGCTACCACCATCTGGGTTTAGGCCCTGGGAAATATAATTTAATAATCTCTTTCCAAATCCTAACCAAATTTCTGTACAGCAACAATACATGGAATCTTGAAAATATTCCATCTATGTAGTGTCAGAATATTTTCCAACCAATTTTGAATTATAATAATACCCATTTTTTGTCTGTTCGAGTTTATCCAGATTATAATGTGCGTACAGTGTTGTTGGGCTTAGCAGATGTACTGATAAAACATGTAGAAAATGATGATAATAAAACAAATTAAAGGTGATGTCCCCAACTAAATTATATTTCATTTTCAAAAGAACGTATAGTTCTGACCATGGGGCACTGTATTATGTACAGCAAGTAATCTATTCAAAATCCCTCTTTCCCTCCCCTTGGCATAACTACAACTGGTAACACTTGCTGGGGGGAGAATAGTTAAACCAATGACAAGTGGCTAAATTAAACCATTTTGAATGAGTTTGAACCCGTCGGGAAGCTGCAGGGGTGAGCATAAGTGGGTTACCGGTTAACAGTAATTAAGAAAAATTCACTCTCTCTTCACAATTTGAAAAGTAACATATATTCACTTCAATGCCTCTGCCAAAGAATGATAAAGCAGGATTTGTTTTTCTATCTGTCAATGAACAATAAGTCATTATAGTAATTATTGTGACAGGCCTACACAATAATAGCTCTACTAAATATGAGTCTGAGCTGAATGAATCCTAATACTACAATAGCAAACTAATGATTGTTTTCTGTTCTACTCAGAACTCAACCCGCCGACATGGACGAGGACCAGTGCTACTACAATGAGACTATCGCCTTCTTTTACAACCGCAGCGGCAAAGACCTGGCCTCAGATTGGAACACTGTGAGCAGCCTGGTCATGGGCTTGGGCATCACCGTGTGCATCTTCATCATGCTCGCCAACCTCCTCGTCATGATCGCCATCTACGTCAACCGCCGTTTCCACTTCCCCATATACTACTTGATGGCCAACCTGGCAGCTGCCGATTTCTTTGCGGGCTTGGCGTATTTCTACTTGATGTTCAACACGGGACCAAACACGAAGCGGCTAACGGTTTCGACGTGGCTGCTGAGGCAGGGGTTGATCGATACTAGCTTGACCGCGTCCGTGGCTAACCTCCTCGCCATCGCCATCGAACGCCACATCACTGTTTTCCGGATGCAGCTGCACACGCGCATGAGCAATCGGCGAGTGGTGGTGGTTATCGTCATCATTTGGACGATGTCGATAGTCATGGGCGCCATTCCGAGCGTCGGTTGGAATTGTATCTGCAGTCTAAGGTCGTGTTCCAATATGGCGCCCCTATACAGCAACTCCTACTTGGTGTTTTGGGCGGTATTCAACCTGGTGACGTTTGTCGTAATGGTCACGCTCTACGCACACATCTTTGTTTACGTCCGGCAGAGGACAATGAGGATGTCGAGGCACAGCTCTGGACAAAGGCGAAACAGAGATACCATGATGTCTTTGCTGAAAACAGTGGCCATCGTGCTAGGTAAGACTTATGATTTATCCCTCTTTAACATGTATTTTTACCTAACTACTCCACATCCATATTTTTGACCCTTTTTTACTCAGTACCGCTGCTGGACCAAAAAACAGATTTTTCTTATCATTCAAATTTATTTGGGCCTTTAGAGGGTTAATGTGAATCAAAGTATCAATCAAGTTTATTTATAAAACACAATTCATGCAGAGGAACCCAAAGTGCTTAAAACATCTGTATGTATAAAAGCTTACAATTTCGCTTATAATGGCATAAAAGTTTACGAAACAGACGGCACAGTGGGACTTTAATGCTCAAAGTCAATACAAAAATATAAATAAACTCAACAGCTTCTTTTTGTAATGGTTTGGTCAAATACAAATTATTATAAAGGCCACCCAGGCCAAACTAGGCACCTCATTCGACCCATGCGAGTTTTTTCAAGGAGACTAAATTTTCATTACATTTTGTACTGAAAATGTGTTCAGAAGTAGCATATAAGACTAAACAAGAAAAAAAAAAAGACAGCCTGGTGGTAAATAACAATCCTCCAGTGAGAGCAGAATGACAACATCTGTACTCCAGCCACCACTGCCTCTGACAGGCATTGAACAAATTGGGTCAAATGCAGAGAATAGGGTCCTCTGTATTTGACAAATCTTTCTAAATACAGCCTGCCCAGGGACTACGGGTGGAAACAAGCTTTTGAGCTATAACCTAGTAAAATGCATCTTTCCCTTTGAGTTGAATGTTTATTGTACACTGTCCCTGTCACTTTAAATAAATAAACTGAACTATGTATTTGGCATGAGCCTCTAATACATGCATTAGAAGGAAAACATACTGCAACAAATTCTACAGTTTCATCGCAGATTATGTTTCTTAGCTTGTTGGACCAGAAGATCAGTCCAACCTTTTCCCATTCCCGTGGTGTACATGAAGTGTATATTACTGCAGTATCACAAGTATCTTATCAGCTCTGGCAGGCTGAACGTGGCTCCTGTGTGGGGCAGAAAGTGGAACAAGCTGAGGTCCGCCACAAACAATGGTGCTGTTGAACGTTGGGCCTGTACACTTGAGCAGTCAGTCATCCTAACCACCGGTTTCCCCTTCGACTGATACTGTTCCTTACAGCGATGCCCAGATGTCTCCTGCAAAGCAATGCATTTTTGGGTTATGTTTTTTTTATTTTCTAAGATGTAGGAGCACTAATAACACAGTTCATATTTTTTATTTTATTATTATAGGCTTTTACCAAATGATTGAGATGCAGTTTGATGGTAAAAGTGCCTAAAACACAGAGATAGAAATGCCCCAATGAGAAGATTTTTGGTCCAAGCTTGCTTCGAGAAGATACAGTGACTCAATAAGTTATCCACCAAATGGTATAGGAAACCTTTAAAATATATTAAAAAACGTTCTAAGAGGTTGCGTTAATGAGACACCAGAACATTTCTCGACCAATCCTCATGCAACAAACACTCTCACAAAATTCCACAAAAAACACAAAAACATATGCATGATGTTGGCCAGCCAAAAGGATTTTAAGAGATAATAATAATATGGCAGATGTATATATCTAATCACCTGGTTATCTGGTTAATCACATAGTTACCAGCCCTCCAACTGAAATTAAACAATGGCTGTTGACTGTTCCATACCTTTCATAAACACTCCATAACTATAATTGAATGCAGTCTCTGAGTTAATCTTCTGAGTTTTCTTCTCCTTAACTGAAAGGCAATGACTTCTGCAAATGTCTGCAAATTAAGTCATATGCTACTGTTTCCACTATTCCTCAAATGTCCCTGTCTTTCACATTATCTTACACAGACAGTTTAAAGTGTGGGAAAAGTGCCTTGAAGCAGGATGTGTCAGCCCGGTAGACAAAACATACCAAGGGATTGCATGTGATCTGTCTCCCATAAGCGCTGTTTTCTCATCCCGCTGCTTCTGTTGTCTTTGCTTTGTGTTCAACAGAAAACAGCAGACCACCGGAGTCCTTCATTTGAATTAATACAACATTAGTTGAAGATGGGGTACCTAGCTTTAAAATCAGAAACAAAAACATGTCAATACATCCACCCAACTATCGCTTGCTGTAATGTTCTATGGTTATTAGTTTTCACACAATGGGGGCGGGTCCCAGCTCAAAAGTGGCCAAAATTATGTGCGCTGACATGCTTGCAATACCACCCCGGGCCGATGGGGGTGGACCCGGAATAAGAATTAGGCAATGCTAACATATAACGTCTTCTTACCTCTCAAAAACACCTTTTCAGGATGGTCCAAAAGTTGGCTCTTGGCCCAAAGCTATGTTACACATGTGTGTCAATGCTGAGGGGGGTGAATTTTTTTGGACCACTCTAGTTTAGTGACGCATGCACAGATGCTTTTTTTCACATTTTCCGGCCCTCGCGGCCATTTTGAAACTGCCCATAGACCGCGGAAGTTGTGGCCCATTAGTTAGAATGGCGGAGATAGGCGTGACTACGTCCGATAATATTTACAGTCTATGTTTTCATACAAATGCATTCTTTATATCTGTCACATCTTTAGATCAGCTTAGATCAGACAGAAAAAGTGAGGACCAGCCAATCCTCACTCACCCAATCATCTCTCAAGTGTCAACATCATTTTAATTTTCTGTTGCATACTTGTAAGAAAGAGGGTGAGAAATGATTGGCTGAGTGGTTTCACTTTTCTGTATGAAAAAGTTCATCCAAAGCTGGGACAAAGGGCAAGAGTACTGAACATGCTTATAAAACTTGTGATAGAACAAAAGTTTTGAGAGATAAGAACTATTTAAGAAGCAGAAGAAGGTCCTTGATTCATCCCACATTGGGGAAATTTCAGTTTTGATGAGTACACATACACATATACACATCAAGGCATGCAGCGAACATTACTTCCGCACTCCTTATTGACAAAGTGTCTTGCCCAAGGACGCAACGACAGCAGACACTGGTGAGAGTTGGTGGAGAAGGCCAGTGCTCTACCAACTGAGCCACTGTCGCCCCATTTATTTTTATAGGTCATATTATATATCGTTCTTTTTTACTCCGTTTTTTTTTAAGTTTTGCCATCTGAAGTTTGAATGCCATGCAGAAAATGTTTTGTTTCATTTTTGTTTGTTGTCCTCCACTGGAGATACCTGCTGGGAAAGGCCAGGGTAACTAAAGTGCATCAGGCTCAATATCCCAGTTCCTTGGCAATGCAAATAATTACAGGTATTTTTTTTTATGTTGTGTAAATTAAATATAACTGAACAATAAACAAAAAACCCCAATATTCTGTATGTGTTCATCATATTCTCGAAAAAAAATGACATGAAGGTATAAATACATAATTTTTTAGCATAACTGTAACATTACACTTGATAGCTTTTCCTGAGACACCCATTTCCAGTTTGACGGAGGCTATCAGGGGAAGACTTGCGTTTTCGTGCTTTCGCTACGGTTTTATCTACTAAATCAGAAATCTAAACCCGGCAGCCTCTTCCTTCCCATGTGTGGCCCAGATGACCGCGAGTTCTTCCCCCCGGTGTCTCTGTCCACTTCCCCCTGTCCCGCTGAGGACGCTATAAAACTACTCACATGGTTTATAACAAAAAAAACTCAGAGCAGGATTTGCACTCTTGCATGTCCACTAGCTTACACATGTGGGACTAGTAAAACCTTTCACATCAACTCTGACATGGAAGACTAATTTGGTCTAATGATGGGAAAGTTTAAGCTGGGGTGCTTACAGCAGCGTTAAAACCACAGTAATATAAGGTACCTAGTTCTGTTGCTGTGTGTAATTACTGGTTCCTCATTCTCAAAACAGTTTTGACATTTCTCACATCTTCATATCAGATTTTTCAGACCACAAAGCGAAAAACAGAGGAGCACCCTGACTCAGAAAATCCACTCATAGCTCAAAATGTCAAAATATTATTCCCCTGGCTCCCTCTTACAAGCATGACAAATATGTTTTCTAATAAGATACAGTCAGCATATTGTGGTCTCATTCATTCTCAAATCAACTTACTTTTACAAGACTTTATGTGGGGACAAACACTTAGGGTGCTTTCACACCTGCACCATTTAGTCCACTTAAAGCGGACTGGAGTCTGGAACACCTGCAAGTACGGTTCGTTTGAGCAGGTGTGAAAGTGGACCAGTTAAATTTGGTCCGGACTAAAGAACCGCACCGAGACCACCATATGGAGCTGGTCTCGGTGCGGTTCCATGTGGACTCCAGTCTGGTTCGCTGCTGGTGAGAACGCAGACCGGCCTAGCTCACTTTTTGACACACACATTGTTTTTTTATATGATTGATTGTTATATATATATATATATATATATAGTATATATATATGATTGTTCTCGTGCTGAATCCGCAATACATACTGGAACAACAGTATTTGTGCGGCACAAAGCAACGATGATAAAAAATAGCCAAAAAACGCAGAGTAGCACAGTCACATACGTCATCCAATACACAGTATTTTGTAAACAGCGCCACCACATGGGTGGTGGGAATATGTAACATCTACAGTGGTTGGTTCATTTGCAAAAACACTGGTGTGAATGAGAACCGAACTAGTTGAGAACTGCAACATTGTAACAACTTTAGGGCCCAAGCGAACCACTTTACTGGACCAACAGGTGTGAAAGCACCCTTATTTATTTATGACACAAAAGTTAGGTACCCCAGCTTTAAGTCTTGAAATAATGTGTTTGATTAGATTACACTTTTACATAAACATAACATACATTGCTGTCAACATAATGGAGGTACTGAAGGTAAATAAAGTATGCAGCTTTCATAAATAGAAACGAAGGCTTTTAACCAAACCAAACTGTTTTGTTTTTTTGCAAGTCACCACAAACAAATACATAATTTGCCACTAAAACAAGTTCTTTTGTCCTCATCCCAAGCCCAGTTGTATTGCTGTTTTAAACTTAAAATTAGCCATCTGCCCGTTTTATTTTGTCTTTCACTGCTTTCACAAACAACACAAA